GGGGGGGGGGGGGGGGGGGGGGGGGGGGGGGGGGGGCTGGCGGCGGCGCGCAGGCAGAAAAGCTTGCAAAGGGCAATTGGGAACAGCGGGGAGGAGGCTGGCCCTGAAAGTGCCCTCCGTCGTCCCCGCAGCTCATCCCGATGATCAGCTTCATAGGCCTGGGCATGGGCAGCGCTGCGCTCTACCTGCTGCGACTGGCCCTGCACAGCCCAGACGTCTGGTAAAGGCCGGGCTTGGGACGCAGGAAGGGGTCCTGGGTTGGCAAAATGGGATGGGAAAGCATGGACCTTTCAGGAATGGTGGGAATGGGTAACCCTAGCAGGAACTTCCAGGCCGTGCACCTCCGACTGTGCATCTCAGGACTGAAGCTCGCTCCTGATCTGGGAGACGCCCACCTCCCCTCTGGCTCGCGACTTGGCCGGCTCGGGGCTGCGGAACACCTTGCCGCTCCCGGCCACGTTGCCATGGCGACACGGCTCTGCGGGCGGCCTCGGGCTTTTGGGTTCCTCTATGTCTGCTCAGGAGCACTTGGAGTGTGGCGGGGTTAGCTGTTCGGGGCGCCGTTGGTGCCTGGAGACTTCACGCCGGGCCGGGGGCGGCGGGGTCCTCAGGCAAGCGAAAGGCACATCCGCCCACCCACGGCTTTATCGGAATTCGAGGCACAGTACCGACACACCAGCCTGGGTTCCTCTATGTCTGCTCAGGAGCACTTGGAGTGTGGCGGGGTTAGCTGTTCGGGGCGCCGTTGGTGCCTGGAGACTTCACGCCGGGCCGGGGGCGGCGGGGTCCTCAGGCAAGCGAAAGGCACATCCGCCCACCCACGGCTTTATCGGAATTCGAGGCACAGTACCGACACACCAGCCCCTCGGGATGTCTGTCCGATTCCCACGATTCTGCTCTGCGGGGTTAATTTAGGGTGGTAGGGAGGGAAGGGAGTCCCTGGGCCGGGTTGTCGGTTTGTCACCGGGCCCCACGCTGACAATGGTGACAGGCTCCTTGTCAGCACCCGCTAACGTGCCCCTTCCCCTACTGGTCTCTGGGAAATGGGCCCCCAGGGTAGGAGACAGGGAGGGGGGGGGAGATTGAGTACTGGGATGGGAGTGGAGAGGTGGCGACCCTGGCCGAAGCTCGGAGATTAAATCCTGGCTCCCAGAGAGGAGACTATAACCCTCCCCTCCTGCCCTGCAGCTGGGACCGAAAGAACAACCCGGAGCCCTGGAACCGCTTGAATCCCAATGACCAATACAAGGTACCTCCAGTGGCTCTAGAATTACTCTCCAATCCGCTCATCTCCTGGTCTTGCAACCCCCCACCACAGGCAGCAAAGGGAAGTGTGGGGTGCTTAGTGCAAGCCCCCTTTCCTTCTCTTAGTTCCTGGCAGTTTCCACTGACTATAAGAAGCTGAAGAAGGACCGGCCAGACTTCTAACCCAGGCTGGGCTGCAAGTCCGATGTAAACCACGGTCAACCAACCCACTCATTTCTTCCACTTCCTGCCCCCAGACCCCAAGGCGACAGTCTGGCCACCCGGTCCAGCTTCTGCCTGCACAGGCCCGGTTCCCACGCAGAGGGGAGGCAGCCCCACCCCCACCCTTTCCCTTGCTCCCAGGAGCGGAAGCGCCTCTGACCCTCGGCTTGAGTTCCATGTGGGGGAGGAGCAGTCAGGAGGGCAGGCAGCAGCAGGGGTCGACCCAAAGGCCTAAGCCAGCCCCTCTGCCCTCCTACCCGGGCCTCGCAGGGTGTGGCACAGGCTACGTGTTGAGCGTGGCCGACGTGAGCCAAGCAAGCAGGGCCTGAGTGCCAAGCGACGTGGCGGGCCCCACATTAGCCCAGGCTCGGGCACAGGCCCAAGGATGGCGCTACTCAGCTCGACTGTCGCTGCTACGCCCAGTCTGCCCAGGCACCTACAACTCCTGCTCCTCCCTTGCCCGAGCCTGCTCCCTCCGGAGCCTTTAGCACCCCCTCCGGCTTCACACCTGGGCCGCCCCCTGCCGCTCCCCATCCCTCCCCTCTCTTGCTCCCCTCTGTCCCCTGGGATCAAACAGAAGCAGCCGTGGGCAAAATACAATTTCATTTAACAAATTGAATTTGCTGCGCCTGCTAATCACGTCTGGTGTCGGCTCTGATCCGACGGAGAAAGAAGACTGCAGCCCCAGGGGTCCTTGTGGTGATGGTACTGGGAGGGAAGGGAGGTACAAGCTGTGGGAGAGAATCACCACCTGGCCCAAGGGACCCCTCTCACGGTAACAGAACTTAGAGCAGGTTAGCATTTTATTAGATAAAAACAGGAAGGAGGGTGCCTATCCACTGTTTCTACTGGCTCAGAAGAGCAACCCTCCCCTCCCCAAGAAAGAACAGGCATTTATAACACTGAGTTATGGCAGAGGATTAGGGCAGAAAGCTCCTGCCCCCTCCAATCCCCTCTAAGTCTTGTTAGCAAAAAAAAAAAAATCTCACTACAAATCCTGGGAAGGGGGACGACTATACCTGGCTCTTGCCCTAAGTGGGAGACCTTCCCACCTCCACCAAAAAATAGATAGGCTCCCACTGGTCCAGGTAGGTGGAAAGGGAGAGTAATTTCCAGTCTGTGGGCCTCATTTCCCAGATGCTTTCAGCGCTCCTCAAAACCAGGCATGGGGAAGGACCTGGCAAACTGTTCCACCCGTTGCCTGAGGTTGGCCAAACGCTGACTTGTTTCTGGGTCCTTCAGCAGGAAGGATTTGAAATCCTGGAGCTTGGCTAGAGAGCAATGAAATAAAAAAAAAGTGGTCAGAGCTCTAGGGAAGGCGCTGAGATCAGCTGAGGGAGAGAGCAGAGAGTGAGTGTAAACCCGCCAGCTGGGGTGGGTGTCTTTTTTGCCTACTCACTGGTCTTACTCTTCACATCCAAGCCAATGTTGACTCCTTCATCTATAAAGGCCACAACTCTCCGGAAGTCATCCTCACGGAACTGTCGAGAAGTCAAGGCTGGGGCCCCTGGGAGAGAGGGAGGATTATTAGCTATAGCCCAAGCCCACCTGATGGCCGTCAAGTGTGGGGGCCCCTTTCCTCCTCCAACTCCAGATCTCACCAAGCCGCAGGCCCCCAGGTGTGATGGCACTTCGGTCTCCAGGACAGGTGTTCTTGTTGGCAGTTATGGATACAAGCTCCAGCACCCGCTCAGCCCGAGCTCCATCCAGGCCCTTGGGCCGCAGATCTACCAGCACCAGGTGGTTATCAGTGCCACCTAAGGGGGGGATAATAATCAGGGAGCGGTGAGTCCTGGGCCTCTGCATGACAGTATAAAGGCCCTCACCCACCCACCCCTGGCTCACCAGACACCAGTGAGTAGCCTCGCTCTAGCAGCGCATCAGCCATGGCCTGAGCATTCTTCAAAACCTGGAGGGAGTACTCCCGGAACATGGGGGTGCAGGCCTGGAGCATGAGACAGCAACTCTGACTCCAGGCCTGGACCCAAGCCCTGCCCTGCCTTCTTGCCCCACCTCCCCCAGCATAACTGTGACCCCAGCCTTGACCCCTCCCATCCTGGCATTTCCCTTCCATCAACTTCAGTTAGCAAAGTACAAGGTCTAAGCCTCCAGGCCAGTGCCCCCCACCCACGCCAGAAGAGCAGGCCCCCAACCTGCTTTAGGGCCACAGCTACTGCAGCAATGGCATGGTTGTGGGGCCCCCCCTGCAGGGATGGGAACACAGCGAAGTTGATTCGATCCTCAAATGTGTAAGGGATCTCCCGTCCAGTCTTGGGGTCCACAGTTTGCACCCCTTTACGATAGAAGATGAGTCCAGACCTGTGTAGGAGGTGGGTGATCAGAATATAAACTGAAAATATGGACAAGGGATGGGGAAAGCAAAGGAAGCTAGCTGGCCTGGGCCCCTGAGGGCTCTCAGAGTACACCTCAGTTGGGTTTGGTGTGCTGGATTCCAGTGATAGAGGGAATCAGCTTCTCACTCCCACCCCCAAACCCCCTGCCAGGGAATGACCATCATGGGCAAGAAAAGGAGAATTGTCACGGACTGGATAGACATCTTCAAGACTGCAGGTGGGAATGAATTCCTCTCACATCCAGCCCAACGATGCCCTGGGAATAGGGCATGAAGGCAGGGAAAAGCAAGGCCTGACATCAGGGGAGCCTGACCTGGCCCCTCGAAGAGTCTTGTGAGTGGTGGTGGTGACAATGTCCGCATGCTTGAAAGGTGAAGGGATCACCTTGGCAGCCACCAGGCCACTGATGTGGGCCATGTCTGCCAGCAGGTGTGCCTTGACCTCATCACACACCTGGGCAGGTACAGAGACAGGCCTCAGCCTGGGGAGGGCCCAGACAGACCTACCAAGGCTGCCCCTCCTCCCAGATGTCCCCACCACCCCCTAGGGAGATGCCTGGTACTTCAGCTCCCCACCAACCTCTCTCATGCGAGCATAGTCAATGAGGCGAGCATAGGCACTGGTACCAGCTATAATGAGCCGTGGTCGGAAAAGTCGAGCAGTCAGTGCCAGCTGGTCATAGTCAATGAGGCCAGTTTTGGGCTGGATAGACAGACAAACAGCTAAAGGCCGGAGAAGGAAGCAGGGCAGCTCACTCTCCTCCTTGACCCTGAGGGCTGCCTGGGGCTCCAGCCTTTCACCTTCCCCAGGAAAGGACTACCAGGGCCTGAACAGCCCCCTCCCAACACACTAGAGCACTCACGTTGAGCTTATAGGGCATAGACTCGAAGAAGATGGATGAGGCTGAGATCCGCTTGACATCGGACATGTAGCCATGGGTGAGACTGGGAAGTGAGAGGAAGTAAGGAGGCCTCAGAGGGGAATAACCCCAGACAACCACTCCCTTGCTGCCAAGCTCCAGGCCTCTCTGGAACACTGGCCCTAGTGTTCAGTGCTCTCATTTCTCCATCCTCTCTGTGGTGGGCATTGATGTTACTGGGTTCTTATCTTCCTCATCCACTGTACCATGCAGGACAGGGAGAGCCTGTTTCATCTTTATGGTAGACGGTAGGTTTCACTAAATGACTCCTTTCCCACGCCAATACTGCCCACCAAGCACATCATCCAGCCCAGCCACACTCACTGGCCCCCATCAGGTAGGTCCAGTCCCATGATCCGATCATGAGGCTGCAGAAGGGCTGTGTAGGCGGCCAGATTGGCTGGGGACCCCGAGTAGGGCTGGACATTGACTCCCCACTGTTCAGGATCCAAGTCAAAAGCCTCCAAGGCCCGGTGCTGGCACAGCAACTCGATTTCATCCACTACCTCTGCTCCTCCATAGTATCTGCCATGGGAGAGGGGTATATAAGGGCACAAAGAAAGGACTCTTAAGCATCAGCAAAGGACTGGGAAGGTCACTCCTCTGTGAACACTGGGAGGTACAGGTAGGTTTCCCCCACTGGGAGCACCATCCTTGATGCTGCCCTCCAGCCCTCTGGTGCCTAGCCCTCACCTCTTGCCAGGATAACCCTCCGAGTACTTGTTGTTCAGACAGGACCCCAGGGCCTCCAGCGCAGCTCGGCTGCAGAAGTTCTGGGGTAGTGGAGGGGCAATGTCAGAAATACTGAGCCCCTTCCCTTGGACCCCCACAGCCCTACCCTGCCAGAGGTCCAGTGGGGAGCTAGGCTCTGCAGAAAGCTTTGTGCACTTGGGGTCCTTGCCAGGCTTGGGGCAGGGCCAGAGGCAGCATTCTCAGAAACCCAACTGCTGTGACGGGTGTCCCCAGCAAGGCCACTTGTCCACACAAACTTGTATTTCCAGGCTCCTTTTTTTTTTTTTTTTTTTTAGATAACCGGTAAGGGGATCTTAACCCTTGACTTGCTGTTGTCAGCATCACGGTCATCCATTGAGCTAACTGGCCATCCCTATATGGGATCCAAACCCATGGCCTTGGTGTTATTAGCACCATACTCTCCCGAGTGAGCCACGGGCCGGCCCCCAGGCTCCTCTTTCTTCTTAGGAGGGAGAGAGGGACCAAATGAGACTGTTAGGAGCTGGTAGGTTCTGGAAAATCCCTAATGCCCCAACCTCATAAACTGAATTGGCCCTGTCTTTGCTTCAGAGTATAGTTAAAAAGAGAGGGAAACAAGGCCCAGCAAAAAGGCTCTGAATCTGAAAGTGAGATCTGGAGAAATATCAGTAAAGCTGACTGGTTACTTCCTGCACCCTTGGTGGCCCAACCCCTGCCCCCTCTCCCCAGGTCCCACCTCTGAGGCAATAAGCTCCAGGCCACGACACTGCCTATCCTTTTCCCTCTGCAGCAGCTCCCACATCTCAGGATCACTATCCGATAGACTCTCCTGGCCTGTCCAGCCGCTGGTTGCTTCTCCAGTCTGAGTCTGGGCCGCTTCGCTGTTCTGAGCCCGAACAGCCATCCTGACGAGATGACCACATCTCCGCAGAGGCTAAGGGCAGGAAAAGCCAGGGTCAAATAAAAACAGCCCAGAGAAATTGTCTCCCAATCATCTTCAGCCATGCCTATACGCCTCTCTGGCTCCACACCAAGCAGCCAGATGTCCAGCTGGCCTGTTATTCCAGTTCTCACTACCCCCACCTACACCTTCAAAAGCCAGTTCTAGAGCCAAGGTTGAGATCAATGTCTAGGGGGTTGCTCTGATTTGCTCCACTCACCTCACCTCAGAATATCCCTCCACCTTGCCCCATGAACAACTCTGCAAAGCCACAGGGCAAAACTTGTCCTCCAGAAGCCTGTGTCTCCCAAACTCAAGAGAGGGCCACTGAGATCCCACAACCTCCCCATCCACAGGAACAAAAGGGTGTTCCTGCGGGGCCTCCATAAACTGTACCCCAGTCAGGGGAGGAGAGATTGAGTTGGCAGGGGTCAAGGCTACAGGGTGTAGAGGTGGTTTCTAGAGCAATGATGGTGGGAGGATAGGGTGTTAGCAGTCTCAGCGGAAGAGGTGTGTGTGTGGTGTGGTGGGGGGAGGATGTCTGCCCCCAGGGAAGCCAAAACCTATATCCTGTCCCCTTCGCCCCCCATCCCTCTTTACCACTTCCTTCTAGCCCACACTACCATGGGACCCCTGCCTGATGCAAGCAGTGGGGATCGGTTGCATCATCTGCACGGCTCAGAGCTGGCAGGGAAGGCTCAGTTTGCGGGTAGAAGCCGGGAACCCCGCTCGTTAGCCAGCACAGCGTCCGCGGGGCATCCGCGGTCTTCTCCCCTAATGCCAGGTGAAATGGGAGGTCACGAGACCCTGGGGCGTCTGATCACAAGAATGGGGAGGGACCCCAGTCCGCCCCACGCGCGCCCAGGTGTCTCTGAAATTACCTAGTTATGAGTCCGCTCCCTGGGGCCCCAGACCACGTGCGTGGAGAAGCCCAGAGAACCCCAGAGTTTGTGATTGGGAACCTAAGGCAAGAGGGGGGCTTCTTTTCCACTGGTCACCCAAGTCTCCCGAGCCCCATTCTTACCCGAGTTGTCCAGAGCAAAGAAAAGGGCAGCATCGCAACCTGAGGTCGCAGGAGGTCCAAACACTAACTCTGGCCGGAG